CCTTGCGTACATCACCGAGGAGCATCTTTTCCACATCAACGACGGCGTTCTCTGGCGGCTCCCGCCGCCCGAGGATCTCGCGCGGCCCGAGTATTGGGAGGGCCACCGTGACCGCATGGCGCTCTACCAAGATACCGACAAAGATGCCCTTTTGAACGACTTTAAGCGCGAGGGGGTCATCCAGTGCGCCCTTCGAGGGCTGCGGACGCCGCCAGCGGAGTCTCTGATCGATCCGACGGTGGAGCCGATTCAGTCCGAGGCCGCGATTGATCAGATGCGCGAACAGCAGCGGCATATTCGAGATCTTCTCACCGAACGCGAGGCCTTCGCGCACGGCGAAAGGCTTTTTCAACTTCTCACGCAGAAAGCCAACCTCTCCCTTCACGTGGATGATGAGAGTGGATTGCTCACGCTCATGCCAATTGTGGATCTACAGCCTGGGGATGAGTTGCTTTTGCACTACGGTCGGGAGTGGTGGACGCATCGGCTGCTTTCGACGCTTTTTTTAGCGGCGAAGGATCGCGAAATGCGCGGCATCCGCTGGATTGAGCTGCTGTGCAGGAGTGAGGACGAAACCGACGTTTTTGAACCCTTTCCGAGGCTCCTTCCCGTGCGCAAAAGAAGTAAAAAAGGTGTAAAGGATCATTCTCATGGGCAAACTATGACGACCGATTCTTCTGGGAAGATGTCAGAGGAGGGTATTTCTTCTTCTTCGACGGAGACACTTCAGAATAAAAAAGTTCGGAATTCGTCATCTGAAAGGGGTACATACATACTTTATAATGAAGGAACTAAGAAAGAAGCAACCGACGCGACAGTGCTGATCTTTGCCATCCGCCTGAGCTGTCAGGATCCTGACTTTTTACGGCTTCTTCTGGAGGGTGACGGCGAGGATGGAAATAAGTTTTCCTCCTTCCCACCCGTGTTTTGCCAGGAAAGCTGTGATGTTGAGGTGCCTATTGCGGAAATACGGCGGGCGCTGCTGCGGATGCTACGGCGCTCCTCTCATGATATGAAACATGGAGAGGATGCAATTCCAGGGGTGTTGAAAAGTGCCGCGGAGGAGGAAGAGGGTGAGAGGTTTCACGTGTAATTACAGGCGGGAAAGAAAGGAAATTTGGTGAATGAGGGGTTGTGCAAGGCGTATAGACGATGTTGAGTGCTATTGTCATCATTATGCTATTCATCATTGCGGGGCTTCGCTTGTTTCCATGCTTCTGGTGCGTTTATATTTATCTGGTCTGTGAACAGGTGAAGACGGCGACGCATGCATTTGGCTTCCTATGATTGTGCGTAGATTCTATAACGAACACCAATACCACATTTTCCTTACAATATTCTCATTTAAAAAAGGTTTAATTTAAAGTTGTTACGGCTTATTGTTATTATTACAGCTGTGGATAATAATATTAAAGCAATGTTTGTGCCGATTTTGCTAAGGTGCTAGAAGTCCTGTCATTTTTATTACTGGGATTTATGTCGCTTAAATTACCAAGACAATCAATTCTTACCATTTGCATAGTTTTCTGTAACTTATGCAGTTCGCTTTCGATGAAACGAATGCAATATTTCTGTTTTTCATTCTCCAATTTGTTTTTCCTTAACCTTACTTTTTCTTTCATTTCTTTTTTTTTATTAACCCTCTAAAAATTTATACATAGGATTAATAACAAAAGAAATAGTTGGTTTTATTTCGATTGGTTGAATTAGTGTCTTTATTTTCTTCGGAAACGACAGGAAGGTGATATCGTATAATATATCTATATTTATATATCCCTTTTTAAAATTGTATACTTTTGGATTAATTAGACAATCACGATCAAGGAGGGGTGGGGCTTCATTTGGTTTTCATTCTTTACCCCCTTTTTTTCTTTGATTTCCTTTAGGCAGCTTTCTATTCCCCCCCTTTGTTGCCGACCAACACCCCAACCTCGGACGCTAAACTTAGGGTCTAGCATTCGCTGTCGCTCCGTTCAATTTCCTTTTTTTTCTCTCTCCACCGTACGAGAGAAAAAAAAGGAAATCAAACAATCACCCCCCCCTCCCCCTTTTTTTTTTCCTTTTCCCACAAATCGCCATTAAGTGATCATGCAGGTTCGTCATTGCAAGACGCTTGCGCAAGGGCAGTCAGCGATGGCCCGCACGCGGGCGATTGCGTGGTCGCCGAACAGCAAACGCCTGGCGGTGGCCGACTCCGGGGGTTTTGTGCAGCTCTACGACGAGCAGTGCGAGCGGCGGGATAAATTCCCGACAAAGTCCGCCGACGGGAAGGGCGGGCGGACCTACCACGTCAGCAGTTTGGCCTTTTCCCCCGAAAGCGCGCGGATCGCCGTGGCCCAGTCCGATCGCATCGTCTTTGTCTACCGCATCGGCCTCGACTGGGGGGACAAAAAGGCGATCACGAGCAAATTCCCGCAGACGAGCCCGGTCACCTGCGTGGTTTGGCCGAGCGTGACCTCGCAAGGGGTCGAGCTCATCGTCTTTGGGACGCAGGAGGGGAAGGTGAAGGTGGGGATCCTCAAGTCGAATAAATCGCAGAGTCTCTACGGGCACGACCACCCCGTCGTCGCCCTCGCCACCAGCCAGGATGGGGCCAACCTGGTCGCCGGGCACCTCGACGGCGCGGTTTACGTCTACGCCTTCGACACCGACGACGGCGTCGAGGCGGCGAAGCCGAAGAGACTTTTCACCCACGCCTGCGCCCCCTACGTGTTGTCGTGGGGGGAGCACATCTGCGCGGCCGGGCAGGATGGCGTGATGAACTTCTACAGCTCCATTAGCGGGCAAAAACACCAGTCGTTTGACTATCCGGTGAAGTCCGAGGGAGGGTTCACCGCGGGGTGCTGTAGTCCGAGCCGGCAGACGATGGTGGCGGCCTCGCGAGATCGGCTTCGCGTGTTTAATTACAACCTCCGCGCCGGGAAGTGGGACGAAGGGGGTGTGGTGGAGTACCCCAACAGCTACGCCGTCTACGCGATGGGCTGGAAGAGCGATGGGAGCCGGCTTGTGGTGGGGACTCTGACCGGCGCCGTGGACGCCTTTGACGTGTGTTTAAAGCGCTACTGCCTGCGCGGGTCCTTCGAGTTCACCTACGTGAGCCACAACCAGGTGATTGTGAAGCGGTTGACGACAGGGGCGCGGATTGTCTTCCGGTCGAACATGGAGAACGAGATCCAGCGGGTGAACGTTCATCGGGATCGCTACCTTGTGGCCTACACCTCCGCGACGCTTCTGGTGGGGGACCTGAACACGTGCGCGCTGTCCGAGGTCCCCTGGCGCTTCACCGGGCGCGAGACCTACTCCTTCGACAACCCCAAAGTCTGCATGGTCTTCACCACCGGCGAGCTGTGCCTGATTGAGTATGGCCAGAACACCTTATTAGGGACCTACCGCACGACGGAGCGCAACGCGCACCGGATATCCGTGCGGCTGCCGGACCCCGCGCCTGGCGCGACCCGCGCCATCGCCTACCTCCCCGACCGCCAGACCCTGCACGTGCACGAGGTCGGCAGCGGCGCCCTGCTGGCGCGGCTCACACACCCTGTGAGGGTGGACTGGCTCGCCCTGAGCCCCCGCGCCACGCGGCTGCTCTTCCGCGACCGCGACCGCCACCTCCACCTGCTCGACCTCCGCAGCCACCGCCGGGTGACGCTGTTGGCGGGCTGCGGCTACGCCCAGTGGGTGCCGGGCAGCGACGTCGTTGTGGCACAGGCGCGCGGGGGGCTCTGTGTCTGGTACGCCGTCGAGGCCCCGGAGCGGGTCGTCAACCTCCCGATCCGCGGCGAGGTCCAGGGCATCGCCCGCGGCGCCGGTAAGACCGAGGTCCTCGTCGACGACGGCGTGCACACCGTCGCCTACGCCCTCGATGAGGCCATGATCGAGTTCGGCGCCGCGATGGAGGAGCACGACTACGAGCGGGCGGTGGACCTCCTGGACCGAACCCCGTCAAGCGCGGAGACCGCCGCGATGTGTACGACTTTGGCAGGGGTCGCCCTGGCCGAGTCGAAGCTGCGGATCGCCGAGCGCTGCTTCGCCGCGCTCGGGGACGTCGCGATGGTCCAGGCCATCGCGCGGATTCACGACCTCGCCGCCCAGGCCCGCGCGGGGAACGCGGGGGCGACCGACGGCTACGACCACTTCACCGTCCGCGCGGAGTTGTTCATCCTCGCTAAGGAATTCACCGCGGCGGAGCGGGTGTACCGCGAGAACGGCAAGGACGAGATGGCGATGCGGATGTGGGAGGAGATGGGGCGCTTCGACGCCAGCATAGCGATTGCTGAGTCGTGCGGGTTGCCCGACCTTGCTGAACGCCGCGCGCGGTACTTGAACTGGTTGATGGAAACCCGACAGTACGAAAAGGCGGGGGCGATCAGGGAAAAGGAAGGGCGGTACCTGGAGGCGATCGACCTCTACCTCCGAGGCGGGACCCCCGCGCGGGCGGCGAACGTCGTCAGCGCCTACGACCTCAGGCCCGAGCAGCAGCTCCTCGAGGCGATCGCCGCAGCGTTGTCGAAGGCGCAGATCTTCGAAAAGGCCGGCGCCTTCTTCGAGAAGCTCCGGATGGATGATCGGGCGATGGACGCGTATAAACGTGGACACGTCTTCGGCCCCGCGCTGGAGTTAGCGCGGCAAAAGCACCCCGAGAAGGTCGTCCCGCTCGAGGAGGAGTGGGGTGATTATCTGGTCTCGCAGAAGCACGTTGATCAGGCGATTAACCACTATATTGAGGCGGGAACCTACGGCAAGGCGGTCCGCGCCGCGATTAACTCGCGGCAGTGGCGTAAGGCGGTGAGCATCCTCGAATCGCAGGACACCGCCGCGGACGGCGGCGCAGGCGACGACGAGGGAGAGGAGGCGGAGGACAAGAGGCTCGGGACGGGGTCGCTGACCGACGCGAATACGCGCGGCTTCTACCGGGTCATCGCGCAGCACTACGAGGAGACCCATCAGTACGCCGAGGCCGAGAAGTTGTACGTTCGCACCGGGGCGGTGAATGAGGCGGTGGAGATGTACAACCGGGCGGGGATGTCGGACCACATGTACCGCGTCGCGCAGCGCCACCTCGGACAGCAGCAGCTTATCGATCTTTTTATCGGGCAGGCGAAACAGTTGGAGGCGAAGGGCGATTACACCGGCGCGGAGCGGGTTTATTTGAAGGTCAACGACCCTGACCAGGCGATCGTGATGTATAAGAAGCTGCGGGATACGACGAATATGATTCGCCTCGTGCAGGCTTATCGGCCGGACTTTTTGTTCAAAACCCATCTCTCCCTCGCCGCGCAGTTCGAGAAGGAGAGCAACCTGAAGATGGCGGAGACGCACTACGTTGCGGGGAAGGACTGGGGGCGGGCGGTCAACATGTACCGCGATCGGGATATGTGGGAGGATGCGGTGCGGGTGGCGAAGATCCACGGCGGCGCGAATGCCGCACGGCAGCTGGTGATTCTCCGCGCCCTCGTGATGGACGTCGACGAGGGGCTCAAACTACTGTCGAAGTTCAACCTCACCGAGGCCGGTATCGAAGCCGCGCTGGAAACGCACAAGTTCGACCTCGCCCTCCAGTGGGCGCAGGCGGTGCAGCCGAGCAAGCTGCCCTTTGTCTACTTCAAATACGCGATGTACTACGAGGACCAAGGCGATTTCCGCGTGGCCGAGGAGACCTTTATCAAATCCGGCAAACCCCGCGAGGCGATTGAGATGTACGTCCATCAGCACGAGTTCAGCAACGCGATGCGGGTGGCGGAGCAGTACGACCAGTCCTCCATCCCGAGCATCTGCGCGACGAGCGGGCGGGTGTGCTTTCAGCAGGGGAATTATAAAGAGGCCGAGCAGCTCTTTCTTCGCGCCAAAGCGCCGGAGACGCTGCTGAAGATGTACATGGACCACCGCATGTACACGGAGGCCCAACGGATCGCCAAGGAGCACTGCCCGGAGGCGCTGCGGGAGGTCGCGAAGCGGATCGCCCTGCAGTCGAACGACCCGCAAAAGGCCGGCGCGGTGCTGGAGGAGAATCGGGAGTATCAACTCGCCATCGACGCCTACCTCAGCGCGAATCCGGAAACGGTGCAGGACCCGACGGTGCTCGCGAATTTGTGGGTGCGGGCGGTGAAAGTCGCGCAGAGGCATGCGCGAAACGCCCTCCGCGATACCCTCCGCGTTGTGACCGAGAAACTCAAGGCGGCCAACCACTTCGTCGAGGCCGGGAAGTGTCTGGAGGACTGCGAGGACTACAAGGGCGCGATTAATATGTACGTGCAGGGACAGAAGTTCGAGATGGCCGAGGCGCTGGCGCGGCGGATCAGCCCGGAGATGGTGGATTACGTCAAACGGGCGATTGTGCAGGATAGCATCGACGTTGGCGGGGGCATGCGGGATGCCCACCTTGTCGAGGACATCCACCCCGAGGCGGCCTTGAAGGCCTACATCGCGAAAGGCGATTTCACCAATGCGATGCGGCTTGTCAAACAGCGGATGTCAGACCAGCTGCCCTACGTCGCCGGGCTGCAAATGCAGCATTTCGTGAAGCAGGGCGACGTGTTATCCGCGCTGCAGACGGTCAACGCTTACCCGCTCGATACCGAAGACTTCCGTTTTCACGATTCCTGGCTGCGATTAGCGCAGATGATTATCCCGATGCTGGATTACCACGGGGAGATCGTGAAGCCCCCGGAAGGGAAAAATGCAAAGGATACGGAGGAAGAGGGCAATATAAGGCTCGCCACTTTGCATGAGCGGTTGGTGAAGGTAAATCAGAGTATCACGGCGTCAGGGCAGGAGGCGCAGGAGGTGGCGCGCGTGAACGCGCTCGTGCATATTATTCATATCTACCATGTCGCCAAGCAAATGCGCGCAGAGAGTCAGCTGCAGGAGCTTTCGATCAAGCTCATGCTCGGGTTGCCGCGTTGGATTCCGTTTATTTCTCCCGAAAAGGCGTTTTATGATGCCGGGATGGCCTGTAAGGAGGGCGGAATGGAGGGCTTAGCATTTCTGTACCTGAATTACGCCCTCGATTTCGTCGAGGCTGTGGAGGATCAGCTCGAGGATAGCGCCGCGATCGCCAACGACGACTTCGCCCTCGCCGTTGACATTCCAAAGAAATTCCCGCTCCCATCCACCCTTGTCGTCAGCAGCGCTGCGATCGAAGAGGCCAAAAATTGGGTTTTACTTGTCTCCATCGAGGTGAATGATGAAAAACAGCGGCAGCGGGTTTTGCCGACGGTGCAGGACCCGCAATCGGGCAAGATGATGTTCGAGGGCTCGCTCAAGTCTCCCAGCGGGAATGTTTTCCCGGAGTGCGCAGTGAGCGGCTACCCCATTATTAGCGGCGGCCTCACGCGGTGTGCGGGTTGCCAGCGAGCGGCCAACCAGGCGGATTGGAATCGCTTCGTGATGGTGATGCGGCATTGCCCGTGGTGTGGGCATGAGGTGCGGCCCGACTTTAGGCTGTGAGATCGCAAAAAGGGAAAAGGAACGGTACAAAAAATATATCTATTGGAAAGAACGCAAAAAAATATATATATATTAAAGGGTTGATGTGGATGTAAGGGCGGAGAGGGGTGTTTGTGTGAATAGGTCCTTGAGAATTGATCGAATGATAAAACGGGAAATGCGCTTACGTGGGACAGTAAAAGGGGGAGGAAAAGATCCCTCTGATTGTCGCATCATTTCTTTCTTTTTCATAGAAGAAGGGAGAAATGGGGGAGGAAAGGGTACGCAATACCTTTTAGGGTTTAAGGCTGTACGTTTTGAGTTCGGTATATATATTAAAATGCATATACATATATATATTCTCAAATTTGAGCTAACTCAACACCTTTAATAGCTCGCTGTAGTTTCATTTTAAACAGAATGAATATTAAAAGGGAATAATGAGAACAACCTCCATTAAGCCACATGTAATGAAAGAATGAACCGTATATCATTTCTTTTCAGTTATTATCACATAGGATATATTCGCCACCTCTTCTCTACGCTACTCGTAGTCTTCGCTCTTTCTTGATGCGCGGTGTGGAAAAAATAATTCAAGTAAAATAAGCTAGAAACCCAACATGGTTTTAGTTATCAAGTTTTTTGTAAAAAGAGAGGGGTAGGAGGAGTGAGAGGGGTCTGTTTGTGATACTCATTCTTCTTCTTATGTTATTTAGAGTTGGTGCTAAGGAGTGAATTTGTGAGCGGTATACAAAATGATATAGAACGCAAATCGGCAGTACAGATCTTTTTCCCTTTTTTTAATTCTTGTAGTTAGCGATGTAAAATAAAATTTAGTAAATGTGCCTATTGTTGTTTCAAGACCATGAAATTTTATTATTTGTTTAAATACAAATATGCACACAAGATCTTTTTTCAGTGAACAAGAAGACAAGCAAGATTAAATGAAAAAGAATGTGTAAATTCACAAAGCAAATGAGTTTCTTCCAATGATACGTTGTTGTATTTCAATCTTTATATATATACCTTCTTAACATGTACTAAACCTTCTATCATCATTTGTTTTGTTCATATTTATTTCTTTCTGTAATATTAACATTAGTATCCTAAGGCTATAAGTATAAATTAAAGGGTCCTCATTCCCCTTATCGCTTATAGGTAGCAATAACGTAGAAAATACTAGGGGTAGAAGTCTTAGCTCCGGTAAGCACCGTATAGCTTTTTTTTAAATATATTTTTAGGGACACTTTCCGTACATTTTTTTTCTATTTCATTATAGGCAGCATTGCAAGAAGTATAGATATTGGTCTTTTTTCTTTGTAACAATATTTAAGTATTCTACGAGGTGGTACTTCATTTATCGGTTGATTGTGTTACAATTGATAGTATACTGGGCACAACACCCCTCCAAATAGTAACGCAAATTGTGGCAGGATGGTTCGTTACGCACAGCGGCCGTGGTACAACCCCCTTGGGTGTATGGCTTCCTCACCTCCGGCCTACGTCTTTTTAGTGTTTTTCACTGGCTTGACCCTGGTCTGGCCCATACGCTACCGTATCTCAGAATACTTCGAGCGCCAACGGGCTGGACCCCACGTCGAGCTCCGGCAAAAAGCAGTAATGTACTACAACGAAATCGAAAAGATGCACCGTCGGCAGGCATTGGTAAATCAGGAGAACCTGCAGAATGATAATAGTGGGCATCGACAGCAAGCACTAATGGTAGCGGAGTCTTTGCGGATGGGTCATATTGATCAGGAATATAATTATTGGTTTGCGCATCAGCGAGATGCTATACGCGCGGAGAAGCTGCTTTTGGAAATTAAGGAGCTGAAGGCGAAGCTTGCATTGTGAAAAAGGAATCAATGCTTTTTTTCCCATTTTTTTTCTTCTAGTACTTCTGCCTTTTGTTCCTTTAATTTCAGTCGATATCGATCTCTTTCTCTTTTTGTATAGGTTCTGTTATTTTTCGAGAGGAATGCCCTTTCGTGAAGGTATTACGGCCAACTGTACGTTAAGAGAGCTTGTTTCCTTTTGTAGTGTTTTGAAAGTAAAAAAAAAAGTATATCTGCACTGACGACAATACGCTTTTTGGCCCTGAAAATATTTTATAATTTATTGTGTAGGCTAAGCTCTGGTAAACCGCAAACACTTGCGTAAAGTCAACAAAATGTTTTTGTAGGACTGAATTTATAATGTTGCCATTCTTGTGTGCCTTTTAGGGGAATTTTTTAAAAATCAAACCCCAAACCTTTGCTACTTCTACCACCATTGGTACTTTAACCTTGAGTGAACTTTACAATTTTTGTTATTTTGTATTTTATTCATAGCGACTGTTGTTTGGCATTTTGTATAGCTGCTCAGGTAGTATCTGAAGACTCTCTTCCACGCTAGTGAAGGAAAATGCAAGCTTTGACTTGTCATAACGATATTTACAAAGGAGGGAGTTATATTCTTAAAGTTGCAAGAGTTGTTATAAAGATATGTATACCCTGTAAAATACCCTGCAAATGAAACGACAACAACTTCAATAAAGCACTATTTGAACTCACCGGCAATCGCACAGCCTCGACGACCTGCTTTAGGATGTTTTTTACATTATTGTTATTTTGTATACTATATAAAGCTATCATAGCTTTTAAATGCACTTCTGCTGTTCATATCACTATATAAACACAGATACATGTCGACATTTTCTAAATTAACTAGACCAGTGCTACAACCTCTGAGATGCTAGAAAAACACAACTGAAGGACCTAAAGTATTTTTCTTTCTATTTTATCAGTTTTTTTTTATATACATTTGTCTGACTTCCCTTCTTGGGTTCGATTTAGCCCTGGGAGACTATGTTGGATGAAGTTAAAGGCTTATTGAAGAAAATAATAGAAAGGTACGAATAGAATAGTGTCATACACGTGTACTTACACCCATCTTCATACAAACAAACATATAGAGGAAAATAAACAAATAATTGACTTGTTGAAACAATAGATTTGTTTAATAATCAATCAATATCGAGTGATATTGCCCTTTTCCCTTCTCTCCGAGGTGGAAAAAAAGCGAAATAATACATTTGAAAGAGAACGACATTCTTGAGATTATTTCATCTTATAGAAATTCTCAAGTGCTTTGTCCTCTCTTTAGAAAATAGCACGCACAGGAGCATCGTTTCTCGATAAGTTGTTCTAAACCACACACTCTGAGGGCGTGTATTTCTTCTCATTAGCATCCTCACCTTATATTTTTTCCCCTCAACGCATGCCTCGCGAGATTATAACGGTCCAGGTGGGGCAATGTGGGAATCAGCTCGGGATGCGTTGGTGGGATGTAATGCTGCAGGAGCACAAAGCCAACCCTCTCTACCCCGACGCTAGAGATTCCCTCTTTCACGCGAGTGAGCTCCCGAATCAAAGTTCTAATCTAAAGGCGCGCTGCGTGGCGATTGATATGGAGGAATCCGTTTTGGCAGCAATGCTGCGCGGCCCGCTGCGGGGGATGTTCGACAGCAATTTTTTCGTCTCGGATGTGAGTGGGGCAGGTAATAACTGGGCGGTAGGACATATGGAGTACGGTGATAAATACCTTGACGCCATTACAGAGTCCATTCGTGCGCAGGTGGAGGCCTGCGATTGCCTTCAATGCTTTTTGGTAATGCACTCGATGAGCGGGGGGACGGGATCGGGGCTTGGAACGCGGGTCCTGGGGATGCTCGACGAGGAGTTCCCGGGGATTTACCGGATATGTCCCGTCGTTTTTCCTTCCCGCGTGGATGATGTGGTGACCGCGCCCTACAACAGCTGCTTCGCGCTAAAGGAGCTTCTGGAGCATGCGGATTGTGTGCTGCCTTTGGACAACGATGCCCTCGCTCGAATGGCCGATCGCGCGTTGGGGATGGCCGCCGGCAAAGGAAACGCCCTTGCGGGGGTTCCGCAGCTCCGCTCCTTCACCGCTGCGCAGCCCACCCAAACCAAGGGCCTTCCTTACGACTCCATGAATGCGCTCGTCGCACAGTTGTTGAGCAATCTCACTTGCGCGATGCGCTTTCCAGGGCCGCTAAACATGGACATCAACGAGATCACGACGAATCTTGTCCCCTATGCGCGGTTGCATTTGTTAACAGCGGGTATCGCGCCACTGTGGGTTGGAAAGCACTCCACGATAGGGGGATCGCGCGGGGTTGATGCGATGATGTCATCTTGCTTTTCACGTGAGCACCTTTTCGTGGAGGTTGGGGATCTTCATCGGACTACCGCACTTTCTACAGCACTCATCGCGCGCGGTCCGCAGATCACCGTCGGTGATCTCAACCGCAACGTCGGACGGCTCCGCAAGCGGCTTGCGATGCCATATTGGAATCAAGATGGTTTTAAAACTGCGCTCTGCGGAGTGAGCCCACTTGGGCATCGAGATTCAATGCTCACTCTCACGAACAGTTGCGCGATCACGGGAAAAGTGCAGGAGGTTTACGATAAGTTCATGCGATTGTACTCCGCGCGCTCGCACGTTCACCACTACGAGCGTTATCTTGCGCTGGAGTACTTTGATTCCACCGCGGAGGAGATACGGTCAATGTTGGATGACTACGAGTACTTGGCGACCGCGCAGAGGCCCGCTACGGCGCCGCGTTGCATGAAGGATTTGGTGATTTACTGAGATTACTTTTCTGTATTATTTTCCCTAAAGGTAAGGAGGCCGAGATGAAAGCGCTGGAAAAGGTGTTTATTTGCATATTAAATTTATATCCAACCTCTTCCTGATTGCTTTGATTTTTTATTGTTTTACTCTTTCTCCTGAGGATTGTAAGGGTACACAAGACGTAATTTGCAAAAAAAAAAGCACGCATTTTCTTCTTTCATTGATATGTTTTTTATTTTGTTGTATGTTTTAAACAATGAATACTGTCTTTATATGGGGTAAACTAATGGGCATTATCATAGTAAAAAGAAATGTTTGTTCTGTCATTATTTTTTATATAGTTTCTACAGACATCTATTCAGAAAAATCACAAGGTTGACACCGATAAAAGCAAATTAGTAGGAAAAAGTTGCCCAGTCAACATGGGTCAACACTCCGAAGCGAGGGAAAATGAAAGTTTCTCTCATAGTGTTAGCACTATTGAGCATAGTACGGGCACCCGGCGGCCTTCTATTACCGCCGGATTAGGCAGTATTTTAGATGGAGCACGAACGAACTCTGTCCTCCTTCAGCAGCTTCTGCCGGTGCTCCGCGAGCGCGGGGGTCCTCACGACGGCGCGGCCATCGCCCAATGGGCGCCGCTGTTTATCGACGTTGACGGCCCTGTCAACCCGGAGGAATCGCTCATCGTTTTCGACACGCCGTACGCCCCGGAGGATCCCTCCAAGTCGCTCAAACTGCGCCAAAAACTCGGGCTGCTACAGGGCGAGGACCACCCCGTGGATCCGAACGTCCGGATCATCCTAGACAGCTTCATCACGCCGCGGCGGTGGCGGGACCCTGTGACGGGGACCCTTTGGGTGCAGCACGCCAGCCCCCACCCCCGCAACCGCATCGAGACACGCACCCTTCACGCGGCCTTCCACCAACGCCTCAGGGCCCTCCACGTGCGACGGACGGGTACAAGCCCGGCACGCACCGCCCTCACCGCGGAGTGCTTCCTGGAGGTGATCCGGCAGGTCGTGACGGAGTGCTGGGAGCGTGGGCTGCTGCTCCTGCACGTCTACGCCGAGCGCGTAGCTTCGCAGGCGGCGCATCGCGAGATGTTCGAAAGTCGCGTCGGGCACGCCTTTCGCCTCGCCCTCCGGGGCGAGAAGGGCGCCTCGATCGCGCAGCACGATAAGACCAGGCTGCAAAACCGCATCCACGAGCTCGAGCGAAGAGAACAGGAGCTAAAAGAAGGATGCGAGACATTTGCGAAGTCCGCCGAAGATGAGCTCCTTATCATGGAGAAGAAACACAACGACGCGATGGTGGCACTAAAGAGGGAGTATGTACGTAAAAAGAATCAACTAGAGCGTATGTTAGCCGTACCGCCGCTTTGAGAAAACACATTCGATATATAAATATGAGTCCGTGATTGTTGGTCGATATTGGGAGTTTATGTCTTCTCTTTATACTATTCATTATCTCTTCAATATGCATCTATATTCAATTTTAAAATTTTGCTATGATCTTGAAATATCCCTATAAGGGTGTGAAAGTAAATATGTGTATATACTACCGCGAAGTCCTTTTCGTTGGAATTCTTAGATGATTCCTTTCTGGAAAGTGAAGTATCAATTGGATAGTACGTCAATGTAAATGTTGAAGTCATCTCTCTGATTATCATGTGAGCACGTCTCTGCACAACAAAGAAGCAAGCAAAAGCCTGTACTATTATTACTATTATTATCCCTAAGATACTATTTTCCTCACTCTTACTCTCTTTTGCTTAAAAAAAGACTCCCTCCTCCCCAGTGTATTGGTCCCTGACCATATTCCAAAGTATACCTGATGCCATTTTTTAAAAGCTAAGAACCTGAGAAAATATTACTTCTTAGTTTATTATATACCTCCTAAACATATTATCTATCTATTGTTAGGTTATTTGGAGCACTTTAGTTGTCTAAATAGGCATATCACCTTCTTCTTTAAACCTTATCACTGTGGTGAGTACTATATATTTTCAACTTAGTAAAAGGGGCGAAACAGTAGAATCAACTGAATACTTCTGTTTTGAAACAGTGTTCCCTCCCTCGATTTCCACATAACTAGTGACTGTAGCTTCTAAAAAGATCCAAACATTATATTATAAAGAGATAGCATATATATGTATAATGTTGCTTGCGGATAAACGTAAAAAAACCAAGTTGCTGGTAAGATTGGACATGAGGAGTACTGTTACAATCTTAACACTCAGCCAGAGACTCCTCAGGATGAAGCCGAGACGTATCAGCATTACTGGCGGGAGCGACGTAAAAGTAGGCGTAGAAGCGGCTCCGTGCCGCATCAACTCACGCCTCGAGTCACACCAGGTGATGCTATTGCTTCAGAAATACCAAATGAACATAACACTTCCCCATCCAGTTTCTTGCCATGGCTAGAGAATGTTCACAAGCCTCCGGTATTTTATTCTCAACCGGTGTTTTCGAGTGTAATACCGCTTAACAACTTGTCCATTCCTCCGCCTCAGTTTTATCCACCTTTACAACCTTTGGTATTCTTCCCAAACATAAAGAATAATTCTGAACATATCCTAGACCCCAGGCTCTCATCTGACCCTTCGAACAAGTTTTACAAGTGTGAGTCCCTACCTTTTATATCTCGGTTGCCATCTCCTTCAGAGACAGGGCAATGCCCAAACGTTTGCTCCTCCGGTCGACCGATAACATCAGCCCGTGGTTCTGCGCATAGGGCTGTAGAGGGATCCAAAACGCAGAAAAACAACGACGTTGATGTAGAGATGGTTAGCAAGGTTAATGCTCGCTGCCGAAGCCTAGATCTTCAGCGTGAAAACGAACGACTGATGCTGGAGCGGGAGCGACAGAAACAGGAAGGACGTGCTCGTGAAAAGGCAGCAGCCCTTGCCTATGAGGAGCGGTTAAAGCGGGAAATTGATGAAGTCATCCGCCGCGAAAAAGATGACATAGCCCGTGAGGAGGAGGAAAATGCATTAAAACAGATGAGCACTAAAGAAGCTGAGGAATACTTACAACAAAAGAAGCGTGCGGAAATAAATGATAAGACTATTAATTCGAATGAAGTCGAGACGAGAGAATCAGTTGTGACGTTGATCGAACCTGATGAGGTTTCAAGGCCAATCACAGTATCTAAATCATTTTTTCCACAGCAAACTCCCACTAAAGTATTTTCAGCCTTCTCATCACCTCGGATCTTTTTAGATTCATCACGCCTCGCGCCCTTAAAATCATATTCCTTGCCGCCGTTGAGCTATTCATCTTCAGAAAGGTTAATTCAATTAGCTATGGAGACTGCTAGCATGTCTACTAAAATAGATATAGTACGTCAGAATCTTCAGCATCTAAATTCAATTAGTACAGCGGGAATCATCCCAAGTAAGCGACTCGAGGATCAATTTCATTTGACAAACACGCCATTATCATTTCAAAATCCATTTTTAGAGGTTATGTGCGCACACCCATATTCTCTAAAAAACGACTTTGAATCCTGTTTCAAAACTGAGCAACCTTTATCATTATCATTACCGCAGGAGGGTTCAACAACTTTACTCTTGCCTTCATTTGATCTAGGATCCGGAGCATCTGATAGACAAAAAAACGGAGAAAATGCCGACCTCTCGCTTCTATTTAACAGCCTTAAGCACATAAACGATAATGCGAATTCAAATACCACTAATGTCTACACATCTGTAGAATCTTTGATATCCAATCAAAAACAGAAAAGTGGTGATTCAACTGGCGCAAGCTTAAGTTTCTCTGGTAATGACAGTAATTCTAATAAGCTGGGTTTTTTAGAAACTCACAACCACTCTTCATCTGAAACTCGTTGTTATCCTGAAGATCCCCCGAACTCTGCTGAAGAGGCATCTGAATTTATCGGATTCGAACAAAAAAAATCACCCACTATTCATGCTACTGAAGAAAGAATCGCATCACCGCCACAGCAGCAGACAAAAACGAGGACATCTTTAGAGAGTTCACAGGATCTAAAGAGTCCATCTTCGAAACGGCAACCACTAAAAAGGACTGCTTCACAGAGTTCACAGGATCCAAAGAAAGCATCTCCACAGCCGCAACCACTAAAAAGAGTAACCTCACCGAGCACGAAGGATCCAAAGAAACTATCTCTAGAACAGCCACAATCGGGAAAGATAACATCTTCATCGAGTTTGCAGGATCCAAAGAGACCTTCTTCTCAACAACCGCAACCACTAAAAAGAGTAACTTCACCGAGCACGAATGATCCAAAGAAACTATCTCTAGAACAGCCACAGTTAACAAAAACTATACCATCACTAA